AACTGTCGGGTTCTGAACTGTCGGGTTCTGAAACGTCGTGGTTTCGAAACGTCGGGTTCTGAACTGTCGGGTTCTGAACTGTCGGGTTCTGAACTGTCGGGTTCTGAAACGTCGGGTTCTGAACTGTCGGGTTCTGAACTGTCGGGTTCTGAACTGTCGGGTTCTGAACTGTCGGGTTCTGAACTGTCGGGTTCTGAACTGTCGGGTTCTGAACTGTCGGGTTCTGAACTGTCGGGTTCTGAACTGTCGGGTTCTGAACTGTCGGGTTCTGAACTGTCGGGTTCTGAACTGTCGGGTTCTGAACTGTCGGGTTCTGAACTGTCGGGTTCTGAACTGTCGGGTTCTGAACTGTCTGGTTCCGAAACGTCCCGGTTCCGAAACGTCCGGTTCTGAAACCTCCACGAGCCAATTTCTCGGGGCTCAACGTTTGCTCCAATTTCACCATTAGATACCAAAAATCTGGTTTGAACAAACATTCTAAGAACACGACTTACAGAACTGCTTTCAGCTTGTCCGGTCTGCCGGCGACGTAGTCGATCGACAGATTATGGGCCCATTGACATTGACCGATGGCACGAGTGAATGTCTGAAAAATGGGCGGCGATTTCAGCGAAAAATGATCATTTTGGCTGACAAAAAATGGCTTAAAATCGCTTAAACATTTCTAGAAAAATGACAGCAATTTTCGACTCAAAAATCACAGAAAAATTGATTTTTGGATGATTTCCGAGTTATTTTCAGTCCAATTCTCATAGTTTTGGAGCGATTTTAGACCATTTCTAGATGAAAATCGCGATTTTCAGACCAAATTTTAGCGAGTTTAGGTTAAGTTCGTCATTTTTGAATCATTTTTCATGATTTTTGGGTCATTTTTCATGATTTTTGGGTCAATTTTCATGTTTTTTAAGTCATTTTTCATGATTTTTGAGTCATTTTTCATGATAATTGAGTCATTTTACACGACTACTAGGTCGAAATTCGTGTTTTTTGGGCCATTTTCAGTCCAGTTTTAATAGTTTTAGAGCGGTTCTCAACCATTATTAAGCCGAAAAACGGGATTTTCGAACCGATTTTGAACGATTTTTAGATCAAATTCATCATTTTTGAATGGATTTTGTAATAAAATTTGGGTCGATTTTTATGATTTTAGCGTCAAAATTCGTTCATTTTGGCTCATTTTTCACGAATTTCGAATCGAAATCTATCATTTTTCAAGGATTTTGACGATTTTTAGCTTAAAATTCATTTTTTTGGGGTCATTTTTCATGATTTTTGGGTCATTTTTCATGATTTTTGGGTCATTTTTCATGATTTTTGGGGTCATTTTTCATGATTTTTGGACCATTTTTCATGATTTTTGGGTCATTTTTCATGATTTTTGGGTCATTTTTCATGATTTTTGGGTCATTTTTCATGATTTTTGGATCATTTTTCATGATTTTTGGGTCGAAATCTATCATTTTTGAAAGATTTTTGACGATTTCAGAGTCAAAATTCATCATGCTCATCCCTCTCACCTCCTCAAACTCCTTGGAAGCCTCCAAATCGAGCTGCTTCGCCGCGTGCATGACCATCCGCCAAACCGATGGATCATTCAGTGTCATCGCTCGTTGATTCCACTCCTTGAATTGCATTCGGCTCGACGATTCTCCTCCGATCTTCGCGCAAATCCGCATTGTGGAGAACATCACGGCGAGATTGTTCATCAGAAGACGTCGTTCGGCGAGGAAATCGAATTGGTAGGCCGACTTGCGACGGATCTCCTTGTTTCGCTCGTCCATCACACCGCGGATCTTCATCCACTGCAACAAGAGAAATGGGGGGAATTGGGGGTTAAAAATCGCTCAAAATCACTAAAAAAACGCTTAAATCGCTAGAAATAAAAAATCACTGAAATTGTAAAAATAGCTGAAAATAAACCCCAAAAATCTCTGAAAATAGCGAATATCGCTAGAAAAAATAGTATTTTTTTTCAGTTTTATGCAAGTTTTCTAGCGATTTTCAGCTATTTTTTAAAGCGATTTTCGGCTATTTTTCTAGCGATTTTCTAGCGATTTTCAGCTATATTTTTTAGCGATTTTTAGCTATTTTTCTAGCGATTTATAGTGATTTACTAGCGATTTTCTAGCTATTTTTCTAGCTATTTATAGTGATTTACTAGCGATTTATAGCGATTTTCAGCTATTTTTTAAAGCGATTTTCAGCTATTTTTCTAGCGATTTTCTAGCGATTTCTAACGATTTTCTAGCGATTTCAGCGACTTTTTGCTTACCTGAAATCGATTCGTGGAGTACAACTCGGCCAACTTGAGCATATATTTCGTCTCACAATTGAACGTGGCCGATGAGCGAAGAACGATTTTGTGGTAGTTGTCGAAGTGGGTCGTACGGAAGTCCTTGTGATGGAACAAGGCGATGAGGGTGTCGAGGAGGAACTGAAAATTGAAATTTGTAAAATTGAAAGATCCTAGAGGTCCTAGATGCTAGATCCCATCTCTTCTAGATCCCAGCTACCGAACATCCTAGCTCTCAGGGATCCTGGATCCCAAAGATTTTGAATCCTAGATCCTCGATCCTAGCTCCTGGAGATGCTAGAGCGCCAAAGTCCTATAAATCCAGGATCCTAGATCCTAACTTTTTGATCCGAGAGATCCTAGACCCAGAGGTTCTGGATCCTGGCTCCCCTTGAGATCAAAAGAGTACCGTAATCCGAAAAACTGCTCTACAGTTCCTTTTTGCTTATTCTAGGAAAGCGTTGGGATCCTAGTTCCTAGATTCTGAATCCCAGAGATTCCAGAGATCCTAGCTCCTAGATCCCAGCTCTTCTGGAAACGTCGCAGTTCTAAAACGTCGCGGTTCTAAAATGTCGCGGTTCTGAAACGCCGCAGTTCTAAAATGTCGCAGTTCTAAAACGTCGCGGTTCTGAAATGTCGCAGTTCTAAAATGTCGCAGTTCTGAAACGTCGCGGTCCTAAAACGTCGCAGTTCTAAAATGTCGTGGTTCTAAAATGTCGCGGTTCTGAAATGTCGCAGTTCTAAAATGTTGTAGTTCTGAAATGTCGCAGTTCTAAAATGTTGTAGTTCTGAAACGTCGCAGTTCTAAAATGTCGCAGTTCTGAAACGTCGTGGTTCTAAAATGTCGCGGTTCTGAAACGTCGCGGTTCTGAAATGTCGCAGTTCTAAAATGTCGCAGTTCTGAAACGTCGCGGTCCTAAAACGTCGCAGTTCTAAAATGTCGTGGTTCTAAAATGCCGTGGTTCTGAAACGTAAAGAATTCTGAAATGTCGCAGTTCTAAAATGTTGTAGTTCTGAAACGTCGCAGTTCTAAAATGTCGCAGTTCTGAAACGTCGCAGTTCTAAAATGCCGTGGTTCTGAAACGTCGCGGTTCTGAAATGTCGCAGTTCTAAAATGTTGTAGTTCTGAAACGTCGCAGTTCTAAAATGTCGCAGGT